AATCCAGGCTGACCTTGACAGACTCAGGAAATGGGTGGACAAGAATCTGATGGTGTTTAACACCGACAAATGCAAGGTTCTCCACCTTGGGAGGAAAAACCTGCAGCATGTCTATAGGTTTGGCAGTGCTACGCTGACTAGCACTACAGATGAGAGGGACTTGGGGGTCAGGATTGACCACAAGATGAACATGAGCCTTCAATGTGATGCTGCAGCCAGTAAAGTGAGCAAAACCCTGGCTTGCATCCATAAGAGCTTCTCAAGTAAATCCCAGGACGTCATTCTCCTGTTGTACTCAGCCTTGGTGAGGCTGCAGCTGGAGTATTGCATCCAGTTTTGGGCTCCACAATTCAAAAAGGATGTGGAGAAGCTTGAGAGGGTGCAGAGGAGAGCCACGCGCATGATCAGAGGTCAGGAAAACAGACCTTGCAATGAGAGGCTGAGAGCCACGGGACTCTTCAGCCTGGAAAAACACAGGCTCAGGGGCGATCTGGTGGCCACCTATAAGTTTATAAGGGGTGTTCACCAGGACCTGGGGGAACGTCTGTTCACCAGAGCGCCCCAAGGGATTACAAAGTCGAATGGTTATAAACTTCTGCAAGACCGTATCAGGCTGGACATAAGGAAGAACTTCTTTACTGTCCGAACCCCCGAGGTCTGGAACAGCCTGCCACCGGAGGCAGTTCAAGCACCTACTTTGGACGCCTTCAAGAAAAACCTGGATGTTTTTCTTGCTGGGATCCTATGACCCCAGCTGACTTCCTGCCCCTGGGGCAGGGGGGTGGGCTCGATGACCTTCCGAGGTCTCTTCCAGCCCTAATGTCTATGAAATCTATGAAATCTATGAATCGATTCGGACCTTTAAATTGGTCCCCTGATTCAATTCAGATTTGGAGATTCAGCCACTGAATCGGGCTGAATCTCCTCTGAGTCGAATCACCACCCAAAGCTTTGCACAACCCTAATATGCAGTACTGGTCATTCACTCTCCAGAAGAAGATATCAGACCTAGAGGGGGTTACAAGTATGGTGGCAAGAATAATCAGCGTGTGGGAAAACACCCCTATGAAGAGGTAAAAATTGGCATCTGTCACTGATTGCTCTCACTGATGGGATAGTGGAGGACACTGGCTTAGATGAAGCCTTGTTCTTATGGATCCATAATGCCAATTCACGAGATCTTATTCCATAGTTTATAGTTTCATAGTTGTTAGGGTCAGAAGGGACCTGAGCAGATCATCAAGTCTGACCCCCTGCCATGGCAGGAAAGGATGCTGAGGTCAAACAACCCTGGCTAGTTGATTATCTAGCCTTCTTTTGAAGACCCCCAGGGTAGGAGCGAGCACCACTTCCCTTGGAAGTTGGTTCCAGCTCCTAGCCACCCTGACTGTGAAGTAGTGCCTCCTGATGTCTAGTCTGAATCTACTCTCCGCCAACTTATGGCCGTTATTCCTCATTACTCCCGGGAGTACTCGGGGGAACAGGGACTCTTCCATAGCCTGCTGGTCCCCCTTGGCCAGTTTGTAGATGGCCATTAGATCCTCAGCCTTCTCTTGTGGGGGATGAACAGGTTCAGGTCCCATAGCCTCCGCTCATAGGGCCTGCCCTGCTGTCCCCTGACCATGCGAGTGACCCTCCTCTGGACCCTCTCCATGTTGTCCACATCCCTCCTGAAGTGCGGTGCCCAGAACTGGATGCAGTACTCCAGCTGTGGCCTGACCAGTGCTGCATAGAGGGGAAGGATCACCTCCTTGGACCTGCTTGTGATGCATCTGTGAATGCATGACAAGGTGTGGTTGGCCTTCCTGACCGCGTCCCTACATTGGTGGCCCATGTTCATCTTGGCATCAATAATGACTCCAAGATCCTTTTTTGCATCTGCACTGATGAGAAGGGAGTTCCCCAGCCTGTAGGTATGCTGCTGGTTCTTCCTCCCCAGGTGCAGCACCTTGCACTTGTCAGTATGGAATCCCATCCTGTTCTCATCCGCCCACCCCTGTAACCCGTCTAGATCTAGTTGCAGCCTGTCCTTCTCCTCCAACGTGCCCACTTCTCCCCACATCTTAGTGTCATCCACAAATTTGAACAAGGTGCTTTTCACCCCCTTGTCCAAATCGCCGATGAAGATGTTGGACTGAGGGACCCCACTGCTCACATCCCTCCAGGTTGAAAATGACCCGTCCACCACCACCCTCTGGGTGCGGCCCTCCAGCCAATTTGTGACCCATCTGATTGTGTGGGCATCGACACCAGTTGCCTAATTTCTTAATGAGGATGGGGTGAGGGACAGTGTCGAAGGCCTTCCTAAAGTCCAGAAAGACTACGTCCACCGCGACACCTGCATCCAAGGATTTTGTGACCTGGTCATAGGCTACCAGGTTGGTCTGACAGCTAGGCATCTCTTGAACAGAGGCATCCAATCATGTCAGATCAGCGTGTACTTTCATGATGGGAAATAGGTTGAAAACCACCGGATTTATTTCATTTGCAACCTAAGTCAGTACTGAACTGAAGTGTCTAGTGCCACAAACGGGGCCCTCTAACCACCAGATCTGCTGCTCCTTGCAGTGACTTGGTTTTCCACTTCTTCCCATTTCCAGCTCATTTTTTTGCTAGTTTTTCTGTAAATTTATTTCCAATTTTCCTGAATTTTCTATCCTTTATTCCTTCCTTTATGTCTCTGTGTTGCTTACAGTCATTTCCAGAAGGCATGGTGCCCCCCAAAACCATGGGTCCAACTCATTCCTAGTGATTTCCATTCAGTTCCAGCAGGGATCACTGCTTTCTGGCACATCCTTCCCTGTGCTGCTAGTGATGTTTTGCTAGGCTATGGACTATTAAAAAAGAAAATTAGACCTCTAGTGTTGTCAGTTTACATGAACTGAGGTTTGCCTCTCGCTATCCTCTAGCTCGCCAGTGGGAGTTTCTAACATAAAAATACATGGCAGCACAATTTCTTTTCAGACAAATTTTGAACAATAGGGGAATGTGCTCAAAAGTCCACGAAACAAAACCTCGGAGTCTGTGACGGTCTATATTCTGGAAACAGACACCATCTAAAGTCTGACACTCGAGAATCCACCAGGATCCCATTGATCCCAGGTCTAGAATTCTCCAGAATATCACCAGATCGAAAAATCGAGACCCTATAAAACTCAAATCTTTCCCAGCTCTAGAATCCTACACGCTAAACTGTACAGTGTCTTAAACATTTCTCAGCTCCAAGGAAATGACCAGGACCAGGTCTCCCTCACAAGGCAATCACATCAAGTTAGAACCAGAAGCTGGGATTTTCTGGAACAAGGAAAGCCTCAGAGAAAGGGCATTTTGTGCCTCAAATCTTGTCCGACATCCCTTTCTAATATAAAGTTGGCCCAATGAAAGACATGAAACAAATCCTGCTTCTCGCATGTTCCCTGGACCATTGTGATTACACCAACGCTATAACATTACTATTGATATCAAAGCCACGCACAAGCCTGGCAAGCAGGAGCTCTCCTTTCTTGCGGTTAACATTGCCAGCTCCAGCAGCGTGCTGCCCTCCATGCATACAAGCAGTTGACTTGTAATCGCATCCGTGGCTCAGGAATGGCTCAGACAACTGCAGGGGCCTGAGAGCCAGCAGGACTCAGCACTGCAGGTACTGGAGGACCAAGCGAACAGTGATTATTTGGGGGCAGTGAAGGAGCCACAGGAGTATGTGTGCATGACTACCCAGGCAGGCGGCTGTCAGAGGAGGCTCTAATGCTGGCAGTGCTCCAGGAAGTAGGCATTTGCCCCAGTTAGGAGGATGAATCCTCCTCCGGGAAGGAGTGCTGAAGAGGAATCCTGGAGGCTGATGCTCTGTCTTCATGTAACAGGCACCACCACACACACGGCAGCAAGACAAGCTTCCTCCACATCACTGACCTAGAGCTCTTGAGCTCTGGCCAAAAGACATCCTGCCATTAGAGTGGAGAGGGATGTCTAGGCTCCCTGGCTCACTCAGTCCTTGGCTTTGCTGCTGGGACTTTCACCTAGTGTGCACTGCGGCGTGGACTCCTGACCACTAGGAACTGACTACACCAGGGGCGGGCAATTATTTTGGGCAGAGGGCCGCTTACTGAGTGTTGGCAAGCCATTGAGGGCCACATGACAGGTACCCAGGGGCAGAAAAATATTATTTTTCTAAATTTTTTAGGATAGAATGGCCTGGCAAGCCGCATCCAGCCCGCGGGCCGCATTTTGCCCACCCCTGGAGTACACAGATAATACAGCACAACTACTGAACTAGTTACTGAGAACTGAAAGCCTTGCATATGTGCTATAGATGAACTAGGTGCATAGAAGTAATAGAAGCAGCCGGGCCTCTCTCACCTGCACTCTGACCTCTGGAAGATTGACCTTCATGGCCAGCTCCTCCCGGCTGTAGACATCGGGGTAGTGGGATTTCTCGAAGGCCCTCTCCAGCTCATGCAGCTGGTATGTCGTGAAGGTTGTGCGGTTCCTCCGGTGTTTTTTCTTGGGCTGCTCTTCTTCAGTGTTGTCTGGCGTGGTGCCCTCACTGTCCACACTCTTCCTCAGCTCACTCAGCTCCCCCTCACATTTATTTAGGAACATGCTGGCTTCTGTGAACAGGACAGTAGTTGGGGATTAGTGTGGAGCCTGACTGTGAATGTTACCCTCACAGACAGCTAGAAAGACAGGTCCCTCCGTCACAGCATAGGGACAGCAGAAGAAATTTAACACAAATCTTCAGCCAGCACCTTCCATTCAAAGGGGTCCCAAAGCATTTTATAGACTAGACTTGCAAATCAATTCATCTGTCACTGAAAGGCAGCTACTTCAGCAGCAGAATAAGCCACGCATGGCGTATAATTGTACAAGAGATGAAGGAAATTATGTGAGGAAGAATTTTTCATCTACAGGCGGGTCTGCATACACATATTGGTTAGAAACTACACATTTCTGAGACGCTATATTGGCTCAGGCACCTTTATGTCATTAAAACTGTCTGCACCGCAGGGGCTTGTACTGAATTAACATTTTAGCAATATAAAAACAGGGTGCAGGTCGGTCCTAACTGAAATTTCATGGAGGATTTGGGACAACTGTCTGTCTGGACAGAGAGGCCAATCCTCCTGCCCTTGGAAACAGTGCTATAGTTACTTTTCATTGACCAAGAGGCAACTCTCCCTAACAAGGGCAGATCTAGGATTTTGAAAAAGGGGGTGTAGATGGTGTGGTGTATCATCCCGTATAACACAACGCATTTTCTTTGGGCAAAAAGACATCAGAAGATTTACTAATATGTTTGAGGCCTAAGATTTAAGATTGAAGTGAAAACAAACGTAATTTAAGTGGAATGGGTTAAAAATGGTTTACAAGGCTGTGAAATAGGAGCTACTAATAGACAGGTGCAACTAATAGACAGAAGAACTGCAGAAGAAAGACTAGCTTGATTAGTGGAACGTCAAGACCATTAAAAAGGAGAGAGGGTCGTTAACACCTGTGGGATGAAGAACTTAGAAGGAATCAGGTAGATTTTAATGAGCCATGAGGGCCATTGACTTTGATTCCCTCCTTGCTGCCTGACTAGAAATGCTGCTGCCATGTCAGGTAGTTAGTTTTGAACTTTGGATGGAGCAGGACTCAAAGCAGGGTGCAATGGCAATAGTGCACCCCAGCTGGATCTGCCACACTAGAAGTCCACACTAGACCCACTATTTTCACTGGTGCAGTGGTGCAGTACGGACCCACTGGAAAGACTACCTCCTCCTGAACCATCAATTCTGCCTCCTGCAACAGTTCTCCATTTTTGGAGATCTCCCTTTTAAAGAATTTTCCGCCGCCGCCCTGCTTGGCTTGTGAGACCAATAAAGAGCTATGGTGAAGAAACAAGACCGTCCAGCCTCTGAGGACTTGCCAACCTTGCAGTGGTGGCAGAACCCAGCAAACATGACGCGCAGTATGCCCTGCCCATTTGCACTTGCTGACCCACTCCAAACCCAGACATTCACCAGGGACGGTTCTGCAGATTCATGCCTAGCACCTGCTCTCAGCCCACCAGGAACCGAGGGCTTAGGAGCAGGCAAAAAGGGACAAGCCCAGTGTGGCTTTGCTGGCATATTTGGGGGTTTGGAGCAAGCCTGCAGACACTGGTAGATGGGATCTAGGCAGGGGGGTCTTTGGTGGGATGTGTAGAGAAGTCTACAGTGATTGGCCACTATTCATCTATTGCTGCCCTTTCACTTCTGTTTCCTCACAGTGCAGGGGGATCTCACAAAACATATTCTGTTTAGAAACAATCCTGATGTTAATTCAGGTACTTCTGAGCCCCTCACGGATGATTAGGGACAGCTGGTGGCAGCTGGGGTGGCGTGGGCACTAAGGCGCACGGTTGCAAGTACAAGGTCAAAGCCGGAGCACCCATGGCATGGGCTGTCAGATTCCAGCGAATCTGTGAATTCTGCTAAATACCTTGTTGCCAGGACATGAGAAAGGAAAGGGACACCTGGCATCCAAGGGCATCAATAGCTGAGGGCCAGATTAATAGCCACACTTAGACTCTTTTATGCTACTCTGGTACTACAAACTAGCCATGCACCTGATCACATAACCTGGGTTGAGGCTTACTCTGTGTCAGCACAATATTCAAAACAACCTGCGTGAACACGGAGACAGACAGATATTTTCAAGGAAACAGGTTGTTCATTCCTTTAAGAGTTCATCTGCTCCTGCTGCTTATTCCGTTATACAAAGTCATAATCCTTTCCCTCTGACATCACAATCATATCCACAACAGCCCATTGTGTTGTTACCCAACCCAGGGGATTAGGATTTAAAACAGGCTGCATTGTCTAGTGACTAGAGCAAAGGGCTTGGCTTTTAGGCACCTGGGTTCTAGCCTCAGCTCTGCAGATCTGCTCTGTGGCTGGGAACAAATCTGTTCTCCTCTCTGTGCCTCAGCTTCCCCTTCTGTAAAATTATTTCCACCACAGTGAAGTGTTTTGAACTCCTTCCATTACAGCGGCCAAGTGGCACGGTTAAAATGAAGGAAGAGAAAAGAGTGGGCATGTGACCTCTGCACAGGGATGTGCCAGAGGCTTTTCAATGGCTTAATTCCCTAGTGCTGAATGGGAGCTTTGCCATTAGCTTCAACCAGATCTAGATTTGTGTTTGCTAGTGTGCGCGGGGGGTGAAGCACTCTCTTGACAGCATCCAAGCAAAACTCCAGCAACTCTGGCTGCTTTGTAAAATGCCAGAGCTCCTTGGGAGAGAACTGGATTTGTTCAGACTAGGACTATAAAGAGCAAACCACTGGGCTGACCTTTCAGATCACCGCATTCACGGGAATGAGAGAAGACGGATAAAGAAAGCTGGGATCAGGAGCAGAACTGAGTGGGGACAACCGGGGCAGTAGCTCCAGATGCCACTGTCGGGGGGAGTGCAAACACCTGCTGCTAGAGCTTGCAGCTGGCCGCAGCACCTCTGCTAGCACTGCCCCGGGCACTGCTGCTTCCCTGAAAACAAAGGTGACCTGTTGTGCCTCTGGGTGAGATGACACAACGAGGACCTGATCTGGCTCCGATTAAAGCTGATGAGCATCTTTCCACTGACTTTAATTGGGGTAGTTCAGACTATTCGTGGATATGGAGAAACGGTTCTGAAATGCTGTCCAAGCCCAACACCCCTTGGCATGCCACACAGAAGGAGTGGGCCAACCACCAGAGCGCCACTGAGGCTGATTTACTCTAGGTGAGGGTCTAACCTGGTGGCTACCCACCTGCCATACAGACCTAGAACCTAATGAACTGGGAATTCACAGGCAGGCATATTTGGATCCTGACTCTATATTTAAGAATCGGTGGCACAAAAATGAGGCTGCTGAATAGGTCTGACCCTTCTTGCCTGACCACAATGGGAGCTCTGGCTGTGAAGATATTGCAGGACCTAATACAATCCATTACGAAGCAAGGGGGTTTCAAAGTGTGCTTGTAGCTAAAGCACTCACACACAAACCGGTTCAATCTACTGCTGTGGTCCTGACTACATGAAGTAGATTTAGTCCTTGACAAATATTTTGGTGGGTCACTGATTAAGATGCAGCAATGTAGCAGCCCTTTAGGCCAGTGCGCAATCTTCCGTAATACAGACAAGGATTGCCAATGTTCTGCCTACTTAATGATTAAGCTGGATCCTCACTTGGTATAAATCAGCACTGGATTCGACGGAACGACACTGATTTTTCACTAGATGACAAACTAGAGATTATACATTGCAGCTCTCTAGCCACCCCTTCCCATAAACAGCCAGATAGATGGACAGATACTATATTACATAGAGGATTATTAAATTCTTTGTGGAAAGCCAGTGATCACATAGACACGAAGCAAGGAAACTTATATAAAAACAAAGATTAAAAAGATTAAAACCTAAATTTCCTATGAAATCTCAACAGGATTTTATTAAAAAGCCACCTGCCCTGGAAATTCTTTTAGTTTCAATTTATATGGCCTGAAAAAGCAAAAACAGCTAGTGTCAGAATATTTTAGTCTTACAGGCAGGAATGTCTTTTCTTCCTCATTTCTTACTTTGTGTCCTTTCTTGTGCTAAACTCTTCCCCACCTGACTTGGCCCCACACAGTTAAACATTTCTGTAATGTCTTTGAGGATATATTTATCTATGCCACTAGACGAACTAAGAAAATCACAAAAATCCTGCAGCTACTTCTGAGTTTCTCATAACAAGTGAAATTACAGTATTTACAAAAACACGCAGCTGTCCCGCCAGTCTAACCCAGGCTTTAGAAATACAAATCAGAAGAGGATCTCGTGTGTGGGTTTTTAAAGCAAAAACAAATATACACCCCCTGAATAATTCACGCCAAATCCCCATTTAACTGAGATTGAATCTGAACAAGCGTTTAGTTCTTTTTCCTCCTGCGTCACCTTTCTGGTACGGCTCTTTCGAAGTGGGAACTTAACCCCGGAGACTCGTACTTTGCTGAAGACAACGTTGCACTTGACATAAATTGGAAGACGGTGATCTAAAAATGCAAATAATCAGGGAGGCCAGTCCACAGAAGGCAGGGATCAGTGACAGATTCTTCACACCTGCCCACCGTGGGCCATCAAGTGCGGCGTGCTCTTCCCTGTACGTGCCCGCGAACTGCCCTCAACTCGGTGGGGCTTTTCATGAGAAGCAAACTCCCCCAAACCACAGCAGTTCTTTCCCTCTTGGCCCTCCCACTCCTGTCGCTGGCTAGTAACAGGGGGCGGTTTTTCTGCCCCCCCCCAGCCCAGCCCTGGATGCTTATAAGTGTTTCCAAACCTCAGGAAGATTTTCCCTTTGAATTTTTTATCCAGTTTAGGTTGTGATGAGGGTCTTGTTAGGTGGGCAAGGTGGAAATCACCGCCACGCCGGGATGCTCTTGCCCGGGC